GGGAATAGTTTGATAAGTTTGCTCTTTGGAGCTGGTGTGGGCGTTCCGGCATGTTTGCAAGTGTGTGGGCGGCAGGGGAAAGAGGTTCTGAAGCACTCTCGTCGACGAATTCATTATCTGCAACGTCCACATCAATACCACTGGAGCATGTGGATTGTGCTCAAAAAGCGTGGGTGGAGAGCACAGGGCAGTCATTACGCAGAGGCCCTCTTCGCAAACACTTACCTGTGCTGCTGCACTAATACTCATGAGTGGCTGAACTGCTCATCCATCTGAAAATGGCACATTGTGTGGGCAACCAGGTCCTAAAGCACCAACGTGATCTGAAATATTATAGGAATGCCAGCTCTGCTAGCAACCTAGTTTCCAAAACAGAAACACGAGACAAAAACACGAGGGATATCTCTGCCTACCTGCTAGGACCCTGTTGACGGAGGAATGGGTGGCCAGGCCAGGCTGGCCCCTCTCATGGTGGAAGATCCCAGCATATGGCAGATACTCAGGCAGTAGGAACCTCCTTGAAGAAACAGAGAAGCATCAAGTTATATAGAATCACACAACTGACAGAGTTTACTCACCCCATAATTAAGATGACATGAGAAAATTGGAGACCATCTCTGTTGCGTAATAGGGGACTAAAAAGCACAGGCACGTCTTTATAATAGCCTTACTTGACTCTACATTGGTGCCCAAACTGATGATTGTGCTAATGCTCAGCACTGGTTTTGGGTAGACAGATTCAATTCAAACTTGAGAATATGTCAAACATTTCCTGTATACTAATCCTCGGGACACAGAGTCCTGTTATGTCATTGGCTGCTCATATCATTGGCCAAAAAACATCCATTGGAATATGGAGAGCCAATCAGTATAATCTATTCAGAGTCCAGGAGGACAAATGATGAGATTAGGATAAGTTGACCATCTACTGTTTTCCTGTATCTTTTCTTTTTTAGCTATGTATTTACTGTATTTATTGTATGCTGTGTGATGCTGTTTTTTTATTGTTGGGATTGCTGTTGTTTTTGTTTGTTTTCTTTGTATTGTGTTCCATCAGGGATCACGTTGGAAACAAGTGGAATCGCTTTAACGTGTTATCCCTTGGGTTGTACTCCGTGCATCTTTTTCCCAATAAATAATCAATAAATTAAATCAAATCAGGGCCACCCACCGGGGAACAAATCTGCCAAGCGAGGGGGCAGACATACGAGCGTTGCGTGGAGCTCTGTATCTGGCGCGATCACCGTTATCCCTGTGAAGACATTCAGACAGACAGACAGTCAGATGGACACAGAGAGGGAGATAACAGACAAACACATACAAGGAGTACCTCAAATTAAAACTGAGAGACCGTAGCTGGGCTCACTATATAGTGGAGGCTCACTTAAAAGTTTGACGTTAGCCTAACTTATTATTGGCTTGAGCTTGAGACCCAGACCAAATAGAGAAAGTTGCAGTACTGCTTGTGATCATCCAGCAGCCTCAAAAAACCAAGCAACCAAACAGAAACTCCAGAGAAGATTTGCAAAAGTTTGAAATGCTGCAATGCATAAAGATGGTTATTTAAGGTAAAGATGGTTATTTATGGCACCAATGGTTCTTCTCACAGGTTTGAAAGACTGCTAGTAAGTGGGCCCCTTTTTAACAACACATTCAAAGGAGGAAAAACAAAGGCAAAAGATTTCCAGGCTGTGGAGACACTGTATAGAATCAGGACGGCATGTGGCCTAGCGGTTAAGAGCGTTGGACCAGTAACCGAAAGGTAGCTCGTTCAAATCCCTGAGCAGACTAGGTGAAAAATCTGTCGATGTGCCCTTGAGCAAGGCAGTTAACCCTAATTGCTCCTGTTAGTCGCTCTGGATAAGAGTGTCTGCTAAAATGACTAAAATGTAAATATCTGACCTTGCAAAGGAAGACTGTGCCATTACAGGAACATTGGTTCCTGTAATTTATTCGCTGACCCCAGGAGGAACTAAACATGCATAATATTTCCATCAGAGTAGAGTATCAGCTGAGAGGACATGGCCTCTGTGATCCACTGGACATTTCATTTTCAGAATTTGCTTTACACTTCTTGAACACTGTGAAGGATGCGAGAGAGAGGAAATCTGACGAACGTGGAGCCTCTGAAAGTATTCTAATCGGAAGCAGGTGGAAATAGAGATGCTTTCATAAATAAACATTTCAATAACTGATATGAAATGTGCCAACACTCGTATACCCTCAGCAATGAATTTTAAGTCGGGGCAGTCAGGTTGGCGGAATAATTCATGAACCAAATCGGTGAGGTCATATTCTGTCTTTGAAGATGCCCCATCTCACATCAGTCACCCAGAACTGCATTTTAATACCGGCAAAATGTTGTTCGCTTTGACTGCAATGATACTATGTGGCTGACTGGCTGTATAACTTCATTCTATGTATGAGGCTCAAGTCGAATGTAAACCTATTTTGCTGACCATGTTATAAATGTCGAGTTAACTGGCCTAGGAGGACTTCATAGTCTGTTTGCAAGTTTAAAAACGAAAATGGGGACAAGATGCACCCGTAGGTAAGTTAAAGAAATGTCCAGCCTCATTCTTCGCAAGCGTAGAAAACTAACTCATTTAGATTAATCCACAAGTCCTTTGGGCAAGGAGATGAGCAGAAATGAGAGCTAATAAGTGGCCTAGTGATAGCTGCTTTCTGAGGAAACCGGCCACAGCGCCATTTGAAGTGTCATTATTAAACCGCTGTTCTCTTCTCTCTCTCTGATCAGCATGTTACGAAACAGGCTGAGGGTTTGGAAGATAATTAGGCTACAGCTCTTAAATGATTTCAGTGGCGGAGGACCTGAAGAAAGAGAATGGGCCAGACTGGGAAAATGTGCAGTTCTCAAGGGGAGTATAATCCTGATTCATCGATAGTCTGAGCCTGCTGCTGTATATGTTTTCACAGCACTGTAATCTAGGTTTACTTTCACTGTTTGCTGGTTCCATTACAATGGAGTGAATCCTTTACATCATTCCAAAAGCGCCATAGGGTTTTGCTGGCTATAAGGGCATGTCTTTTCATTGTGCAACAGGCACATCGTGACCAGTTTAAAGAAAAAGGGAAAATCTGTTCTCAGTTATTCTGCGAGAATTTTCACAAAATATATGATTTTGTGAAAATCAAACAAAACACCTATCAATAGTGTGTATTGTGTTAAGAATGAATTGGTTTTTAATTATTTAAAATCACCAGTAGCATCCTGCTCCAGAAAGACATAGCTCAGACAGGGCTCCAGGCTAACGTTTTACCTGGTGGTACTGGTTCCACTAACTTTTTCAGTGGGTGTCACCAGCCCATGATTTGGTCGCACCAACATTTTGTGTAACGCAATAGAAAAAATACTCATCATCTTATAAAGTCCTTCGCAGTGCTTATGTTTTTTGTTTTTTTTACATTTCCAAGCAGGAATGCATGATTCAAGTAATTTTTATGTGCAACCAACAGTAAACCAGTTTTGGTCATTAATTTTGGGTTAACAATTAGGCTATTGTTGCTATATTTTACTGTCACAATAGGGCTCCAGACATTTCATATTTTTGTTGCTCAATAGAGATCCATTTGCCTACATGATTTTGTGTACTAGCTAATAGGCTAATTCATTTGGGGCTAATTCACCACCTGAGGAAGTGGAAACTCAAAACACATTAGCTAGATCGCTAACTGTAAATATTGCTCATAGTTAGCCGTGTAATTGATCAATCTAACTGTAAATGTAATGTCCTAAAAACTTTCCAGTGGTACTAGCACGGATTGCAAAATGGCCAACGTGCACGAGGCTCCGCATCTCAAAGACATACTGTACCACAAACTTTGGGTTTTAAAACGGTGCCAATCACTCATTGAGAGTTGAGAAACGTCACACCCCCAGAAATGAGACCCCCCTCTCTTCAACGAACAACAGCGTTGTGTCTGTGATGCATGGACCCATCCCCCATACTGTTAATTGCCCTTACTAAGGCTGCAAAGTTCTGATCCACGCCAATCATCTAAAACAATTGGGAAAAGAGAAGCCTAAATCTGGAATGGGGGATAAGGGGATGTCGTCTTGTTATAATTCCCTAAATCCCACCAGGCTCAATAATGAACGACAGGGTGGCAGCACATGTCTAATCTTGTCTGAAGAGAACAGACACGGTCTCGCACTGATGGGGAGCTGACGCCACACCATGCAATGACCCAGTTATAACTAGCAACATGGAGATTGGACCGTTTACATCTCCAGGAAAATGTCCTAGCTGGTTTGATGTAACTCTGAATCCAACACAATGGACAATTTAACTGGCATTCTAAAATCACTTAGTTGTTCATTCTGACAAACAGTTCTTATCATTATATAAAAGATGTCCTTAATTGCTGGAGAGAAATAGCGCCAGGGGAATTCCTTTGACCTCAATCGGCCAAAGATGCTACAGTACAAAGTATGCACAGCCCTGAGAAGACTGATGCACTCAAATAAGTCCTGGGAGCGTTTGAGTGTTCCAAACCACTGACCCTGGAGTATCATGGCCCTGCAAGCAACACCATCCCCCTGCACCTTTATCATAGCCAGGACAGAGGCAATTAACATGTACACATTAAAGGGGAAAGAAAAATCAGGCATTCGATTTGCAAGTTATTTTGGTAGGAGTGTTTTTCTACTGCGGCCTTGTTAGTCAGTCATTATGCATTCCAGATCATACCGAGGGTGTGTGGAGGCATAATGCAGGGAATTCATTTCTCTCAACCATTGGCAATGGTGCCTCCCCTCTGACACTAACTTCACAGCCAAATCCACTGACAGAAACTCACAGCATTCTGCTATGGTATGGTTCTATGCTAATTATTCCATTGATAGTGCTTTTTGTGGAATAAATCCCAAAGCTCTCGACAATTATAGGATGTTTTTATCATAATGGGTTCTGTAAATGTCTTCATGAACAATAGTCAAGGGATACAAAAGGCATTGGATGTTGTAGGTAGAAGACGACTCACTCAAACTCCTCAAAGTCCACCTCATTGTTCTCAATGGAGGGGGAGGAGTTGTTTCCTGGGCTGTCCAAGGTGGATGAGAGAGGTCGCAGTCGGCTCTGGTAGCGCAGTGATCGTTGGCGAATGCTGTCCCGCCGAGATAAGTACTGAATCATCCTCTGGGCGTAATATGCAGCAGGGGACAACCTGTGAACACAGCAAGGACACACAACTAAAATCAAATGGTGATCAGATAACCCAAGAGCAATAGACCACAATGGAAATAAGTCTGACTTTACTGTGCTATCCCAGTCACGTTTTTTTTTGTATGCACTGTGTAGATATGTATTTGTTTGAACTGACAAATAAAATCAAGCAAACCAGGCAGAAAGCAGTGCTAATACCAGAAAAACCTGAACAAACCCAAGACCATGTATTGTCAGAGCCCACATATGGTAAAGATGGAGCAGGCTTCTCTAAAAAACAAAGTAAACTTCCCTCTCTTCCATGCTTCAACTCTCAGGGCCATAGTTACAATGTGGTTCAATTACTGACTGATCCAAGTGGATAAGCCTTGAGCTGCACTCCGGTACCACAGCACTAAACCTACACAGGGAGGGCAGCTCGGAAGCTAACTGAACACAGAGTGCTCCCCATGTAAACAGAGCTCAGAGTATATAGTCAGCTGAGATCCAGTGAGTTACACCACATTGGAAGACTATAGACCAGGGATGGGAAACTGATGGGGGTAGGGGCCACAAAAAAATCTGAACTCATCACAAAGGGCCGCAGTGGCTCGCGGGTCTGTGTACCCACATCCATACCCACACACACGCAGTCAGAGCCGGCCATAGCCTTTTGTGAGCCCTAATTGAAATGTGGCATTTTTCTAACTAATTTCAACAAATTCTACTCATTTTGTCATAAAACAAATATATATATATATATATATATAATAATTTTTGACTCAATTAGTCGGGGCATGAACTCTACAAGGTGTCAAAAGCATTCCACAGGGACTCCAATTCATTCCACTGTTGTGTCAAGTTGGCTGGATGTCCTTTGGGTGGTGGACCATTCTTGATACACACGGGAAATTGTTGAGCGTGAAAAACCCAGCAGCATTGCAGTTCTTGACACACTCAAACCAGTGCGCGTGGCACCTACTACCGTACCCTGTTCAAAGGCACTTAAATATTTTGTCTTGGCCATTCACCCTCTGAATGGCACATATACAATCCATGTCTCAATTGTCTCAAGGCTTAAAAATAATTATTGAACCGTCTCCTCCCCTTTATCTACACGGATTAAAGTGGATTTAACAAGTGACATCAAGTGATTAACCTGGTCAGTCTACGTCACCGACAGAGCAGGTGTTCCTTATGTTTTGTACACTCAGTGTACAGTCGTGGTCAAAAGTTTTGAGAATGACACAAATATTAATTTTCACAAAGTCTGCTGCCTCAGTTTTTATGATGGCAATTTGCATATACTCCAGAATGTTATGAAGAGTGAACAGATGAATTAAATTAATTGCAAAGTCCCTCTTTGCCATGAAAATGAATTTAATCCCCAAAAAACATTTCCACTGCATTCCAGCCCTGCTACAAAAGGACCAGCTGACATCATGTCAGTGATTATCTCGTTAACACAGGTGAGAGTGTTGACGAGGACAAGGCTGGAGATCACTTGGTCATGCTGATTGAGTTAGAATAACAGACTGGAAGCTTTAAAAGGAGGGTGGTGCTTGAAATCATTGTTCTTCCTCTGTTAACCATGGCTACCTGCAAGGAAAAACGTGCCGTCATCATTGCTTTGCACAAAAAGGGCTTCACAGGCAAGGATATTGCTGCTAGTAAGATTGCACCTAAATCAACCAATTATTCATTTTCTCTGATGAATCCCCTTTCCGATTGTTTGGGGCATCCGGAAAAAAGCTTGTCCGGAGAAGACAAGGTGAGTGCTACCATAAGTCCTGTGTCATGCCAACAGTAAAGCATCCTGAGACCATTCATGTTTGGGGTTGCTTCTCAGCCAAGGTAGTGGGCTCACTCACAATTTTGCCTAAGAACACACCCATAAATAAAGAATGGTACCAACACATCCTGCGAGAGCAACTTCTCCCAACCATCCAAGAACAGTTTGGTGACAAGCAATGCCTTTTCCAGCATGATGGAGCACCTTGCCATAAGGCAAAAGTGATAACTAAGTGGCTCGGGGAACAAAAAATCGACATTTTGGGTCCATGGCCAGGAAACTCCCCAGACCTTAATCCCATTGAGAACTTGTGGTCGATCCTCAAGAGGCGGGTGGACAAACAAAAACCCACAAATTCTGACAAACTCCAAGCATTGATTATGCAAGAATGGGCTGCCATCAGTCAGGATGTGGCCCAGAAGTTAATTGACAGCATGCCAGGGCGGATTGCAGAGTGTCTTGAAAAAAAGATTCAACATTCTCAAAATTATTTCTCTAAATTGTGTGCACAAATTTGACACCTTATGAGATCTTTCATTTACTTCAGTAACCATCACGTACATCGTGGCATATCAAAAGATGATTAACAGCAATCATTACAGATCAACTTGTGCTGCTTAAAAGGCACCAGTGACGTTGTGTCCAAAACAATGCTGACAAGTTTTTTGAATTCAATTGACAAATGATAACTGCAACATGTCAAAGTGTTGCCCAGTAGACTAAAATGTTAATTTCCTACATAACACCTCCAATGCTTATTTCTCGTCAAATGTGTCAACAAACATTTGTGTAACCACGCCAGCCCCGGACCTCCATATCCGGCTTTTTCACCTGCGGGATCGTCAAATTTCTGCACACACTGTCAGAAACCGTCTAAGGGAAGCTCATCTGCGTGCTCGTCGTCTTCACCAGGGTCTTGACCTGACTGCATTTCGGCGTCATAACAGACTTCAGTGGGCAAATGTTCACCTTCGATGGCCACTGGCACGCTGGAGTGTGCTCTTGACGGGTTGATCCCAGTTTCAACTGTACCCGGCAGATAGCAGACAGTGTGTATGGCATTGTGTGGGTGAGCGGTTTGCTGATGTCAACTTTGTGAACAGAGTGCCCCATGGTGGTGGTGGTGGGGTTATGGTATGGGCAGGCATAAGCTACAGATAACGAACATAATTGCATTTTATCGATGGCAATTTCAATGCACAGAGATACCGTGACGAGATTCTGAGGCCCATTGTTGTGCCGTTCATCCGCCGCCATCACTTCATGTTTCAGCACGATAATGCACAGCCCCATGTCGCAAGGATCTGTGTAGGGGCTGTGTAGCTCAGTTGGTAGAGCATGGCGCTTGCAACGCCAGGGTTGTGGGTTCCATTCCCACGGGGGGCCAGTATGAAAATGTATGCACTCACTAACTGTAAGTCGCTCTGGATAAGCGTCTGCTGAATGACTAAAATATAAAATGTACATAATTCCTGGAAGCTGAAAATGTCCCAGTTCTTTCATGGCTTGTTTGGGATGCTCTGGATCGACGTGTACGACAGCGTGTTTCAGTTCCAGACAATATCCAGCAACTTCGCACAGCCATTGAAGAGGAGTGGGACAACATTCCACAGGCCACAATCAACAGCCTGATCAACTCTATGTGAAGGAGATGTGTCGCGCTGCATGAGGCAAGAGGTGGTCACACCAGATACTGACTGGTTTTCTGATCCACGGCCGTAACTTTTTTTAAATTAAGGTATACAGATGCATATCTGTATTCCCAGGTCATGTGAAATCCATAGATTAGGGCCTAATGAATGTATTTAAATTGACTGAGTTCCTTACATGAAATGTAACTCAGTAAAATCTTTGAAATTGCATTTCTATTTTTGTTCAGTGTAAATACTAAAACTATAAATTGTCTTCATCAGGATTCGCTAAACTGAGAACATTGTGCAGAAATTGTTTTGGAATCTGAAAGCTTGTATGGTATATCTACAGCCTAGTCGGAGTACCCAGATCGAGGAAAATGGATGTTGTTAGATACTGTAAATAATAGCCTAAACTGGGAAGTTATGGGCTAGGGCCACAGACTACAGTATTACGATTTAATTCAATGTGTTGGTTTGAGTAAACAAAGCTCAAGAATCAGAAGAGGTGAAGGAAGAGACATAGCCAAATCATAAAGTAAATATGTTAGTTTGTGCTGCTGACAGCAGATAAGGGGGTCTGGGACAGTCAACGTTGACACTCCACAGACATAAACAGATAGTCCATCCAAATGACATAACTAGTAGAAGATTGGGATTTTTTACAAAACCAACACCCGTCCAATTATCACAAGTCAAGTTGTGTGCACACCTCAGTCTAGCTTTCCCATTGATTGTATTACCAGGGCTCAAGGAGCTTGCAATACTTTGGTATTAAGATAATGTTTCTTGAAGTTATAGTGTACCCTGCTATGCCATCCCTGCATAGCTGTTCATGTCACAAATGAGTTAATCTGCCTGTACAATTATTTGAATAGGTGGAAAAACCTGAGTAAAATAATCAAAAAGTTATTGCATGACATTCCATCATGTAACCAATATGCCCAGAGGGTCAGCAATTGGATTACAACGCAAAATACTGGATTGGAAATGAAAACGAGTACGTGAAAATAAATCAACACCTGGCAAGTATTAAAAGTGATACTAAATTGACTCTACAAATTAGTTTGTCACATCTACCATCAATTCCACTGAAGCTTTATGAATCTGATGTGACAGACCTGTCAAACCTGTTCAAAATGGCCAAATTAAAGGAATCAGGTTCCATTACAGGACAGCATCTTTTGATAACTGGATATCCTAGAAACTAAATCATAAATCTCTACTCTGGAGTTTAGAATGCACTGGGAAGAGATAGTGTTATTTTCTACAGAGTTTCCAATACTCCAGAGGTGAGAAGGAACAGCAGTGGCCATGTATATCTATGAGGTCTGCCCACGAGGAAACACTATCAAAGACACTGTCAAGCTCTGAAACAGGTTAACAGCAGAGATTATGCGAGTTTGGACACCATTTACTCTTAAATGTAGTTCTTTCCTGGCTGCAAGTCATACTGGCAAATTACAAATGACAAGGCACCTACAAAGCCCGACTGGCTTTCTCACAATGTTCAATGGAAATGATTTGTGTAATTCCCTAGAAAAGGCTTTCTAGGAACTGGCCATAAAAGGACCCATTTTCACTTCAGATACTTTAGCTGGTCTCAATGCATTGTATTGGAGGGTTGCCAGCATGTAGGAAAATGTTCATGGCCAGAACATAATGGGAAATGTTTCCATGTGGGAACTATTTGTAACTGTTACTCTTGCAGATAGGCCTAGGCTACATCTTACTCTTGAATGTTTGAGGATATTAAATGGAAGAGGAACTAGATTTGGATTTTCTAAGTAGAAAACCTTTAACGGATCCTTATATTCAGTCTGAATATGCCTTTGCTTGGGAAACTCTGATTGTTGGTTGAGGACCTCTTTTTACTGAGGAATGTGGTTGTTTTTTATGATTGTGTTTGGTGTTTTCTGTATTTTCTATGATCCTATGCTGCCTTGATTGTGTAAGTGTTTGTCGTGCATGGCTCCCTTGTAAAAGACACGTTGGTCTTAACAGGACTCCACCCTGCCTAAATAAAGTTTAAATAAATAAATAAATGTAAGTGAGAGAATAACGAAGTGTCGCCGCTATCCTCACCACTAGATAGGGTGTTAGGCCTTTAATATCACAGGTCAAAGAAAATGACGACAGAGTGAGAAGTCAATTGTCAAGTGTCCACTCTCTCCCAAAGGTTGGTTGTACTGATCATTTTGTCCCTGCCCTGGGTCACAAGTTGATTTTCAATATTGCACCTTGGTTCCTGAGCGGAGCAGCTCTGTCCCTAGATGTATGTGTTTTTACTGAGAGGACTAGGCCCTACTCTCCACCTCACAAGGTCACCACCTTGGAGGTCTGCTGGCAGTCAATCCCAGACACTAAATTCAGAACCACCAGGCTCAGAGCAGACCCGGTGTAATTCATCACTCTTCAGCAAGGCAGTATTAGAAAGGTAGGACACTTCGCTCAAAGGTCTAAGAAACATCACAACTTGTGTGGGCCTGCAATGTATAAAAATGTATTACCATGAAAAGACCATGTCCTGGCTCCATTTATATTTAATGACAACCAGGTCCAATTCCATTTATAACAGTGATAATGTATTTCAAAGAACTGCGTGCATTAGAAAAAGTCAATATATGCTACACGGCTAGCCAACTGGCAGATGTTAAGGGAAGTGACCTTTGACAATACTTAATGTAAGCATCATATGCTTGAGGCTGTACAGTCTAGTTTGTCTTACAGTATATAATGTTCAATGCTATCACATATTGTTGCCTGAGAACCACACAGAGACAAGTGTGCACAGGTTGATGAAATGGTAGTCTCGCGTAGCCATTCTTCCAAAAATGTTTTCACGCCTCCTTTGGAGGTCTGAAGAATTTTGTATTAGCCGAAACGGTTTGAATGGTCCGCTGGAATGGTCCCCCACGACTGTTGAAGGAGAGCTGCGTCTTAAGCTCCGCCCAAGCAAGGCATTTGATTGGTTTGACGTGTTGTGAAGCATCAGATTTAGACCAGGTCTCCACCCCTTTTTAGCTAATTTAGGCCAGACTTCACCAGGCTTCCAGCCTGGTTCTCTACGCAGCTACTGAAATGATTATGTTTACAGTGGGAACATTTGTCATTTGTTTGCTGGCTTGTCTGCACCTGTTAGAGCACTACACCGAGGTCCGAAGGGCCGAACTGAAAATGTGTTATATTTCCTTGCCATCAAAATTTGCCCAAAATTGGTGCTCTATCCATTGTTTTTTAGAATTGTCAATGCTCCTGACTGTCTCCCTTATGTTCGATGATTGATAGACAGACAGAGTGTAGAGACTGTCTAAATGTAGGTCCAATATCATTTCTGCACAGTTTCGATTTGGTTTTAGTCATGTTATTTTATTTATTTTTACTCAAACCACCTGAGGGCGAATCTGTTTGAGACCCCCATTTATCGAAGTGGCAATTTACTGTTGGTCCTTGTAGTGTATGCTACATGCTAATCTAGTATGCTTGGTTGAAAAATGTTAATATTCTCATGAATTACATACTTCAAGTAAAACATCAATAACCCTGACCACTTGCCACAAGACTCACCTGGCAGGATCTGGATAAATAGGATGGTCCCGGGAGACAGATATGTCATATCGAGACTGCGACATATGAGATGACTCCAAAAGCCTCCTATGAAAGAGAAACAGAGCAAATGGCATGGTTAGATGTTCATATCCACTAAGGAAAACACCACAAACAAAGTTGTTGTACCCGTTGTTTAATGATCAGCCCAAATCATTTTCATATTCATTACCACCAACTAGTCTAAACCGCTTTCCAGTGAAAAAAAGGAGCCATTTCTGTGACTGATGCATCCAAACAATGTTTCTCTCCTATCTCGTTAATTTTCAGAGGTATAATTAAGAGAATGGATACCTCCACAATTAACACAAACACACCAGAGAACCTACATATCACGTGCTTCCTTTTGGGTGACAATCAACTCAGTTTTGAGTTTGGATGTTTCATAGAAAGACTGGCTTTAGGTTATGTTATTCAGGCCATTCATCTGAAACGTTTAAAATAGAGTCAGATTCCTGACAAAACAAACATATTGAAGTTGGCAGCGTCTTAAAGGTGACTATAGAGAGAAGCTCAGGGATGTGTGTGTGGCAAGGAGAGACACGACGTGACAATTTCAATCTTGAATTTGACATTTTAGGGCCCCATAAGACACAATTGTTGTATTCAAAACTTGTTTTAAAATAGCACATATGCAGTGCAGACTACTTCAAGTGATTGGCCAGCCAGCTAGCCCAACATTGTCAACATTAAAACCAGTTAGAATATTTTACAATGTGGCTGACATGCTAATGAGACTGAAAATGCAGTTCCCACCCTCCTGCCATAATCCTTACCTCAAAGTCACAAAACAACGTGCTCATTACTGTGAGGGCTACAATAGCCAAATTAATGGAATAACTCAAAGCATTCCCTTCCTTGAGATTCACATTTATCTACATCCTCGCTAGCCTGCTCATTGGATCATAGTCTTTTTAACCACCATTTTAGTTATTAAAAAGTCTCATTAAATTCCTAAGGGACATTCATTTGCCCATTATCGACAGCACATAAAGTAAAAAAATGATAGCGATATGAAATGTCACAGCCCTGTGTAACAACCCATTAAATTGGTCCAGTCTTTTACTGAGCCGGGACTTTAATGCCATTTCTATACAGAGGATGGTGAGGCAACTAATAAAACAATGGCCTTTATACTTTAGTGGCTTTGGGGAAAGTTTGGTTAGCCAAAAATTGTTCAATTATAACTTTTTTAAAAATTATACCTCAACTGCTCTAGTCATTTGGGCTCGAAACAAGTCCGAAAATGTCTAAGAATACAGTAGCCAACACCTCTCCTTGAAAAAGCATTTACTGCAATAAATAATAGAGCCTAATACAAGCCTAGGCCTATTCATTTTGTTAAATCACTTTTAATATGCTATATCAATGCTTTGCCCAAAGAAGGTTGACTTCAGAATGTGGACACAAAAGAAAGAACCCATTGAATGCTTAAAGCAAGCCATTGTGCCCAAGTAGGCTCAACAACACAAAGTAGCCTAAAGCTCTAAAATCATTATTATAGTCACATAAAACCTTGAACATATTTCATTTAGGGTGACCTGCAGCTGTGAGTCTATGAGATAGACTGGAATCTAAATCAAACTTCAGTTTGGTCATTTGCTTTCCAGACAGCTTCTTGGCGGTCTACAGATTTGACCCAATGCATTGGCCTTGTGTCAGACAACGTAGAGCAGCACTCTGGAGATGCTGGAGAGCTCTCCACGCACCAAGCCCCAACATTAGGCTAGATAATGAGGGGTTGGGCAGGAAGGGCAACTTCACATGGTTAAAGTTCACAACATTGCCCTTGAAACAGAGGCTAATTGCAACCTTCCAGGGCACAGGGGATGGATTGGGATTGAGGCGAGATGGGAAAATGAGAGAGGGGAAAAAACAATGACCATGTGTGTTTTCAATGACTGTAGCTAAATGTTATGCAAATATTAGGATATTTCACTTTTTCCATTTCCATTACTTTCTTGCCTGGCTACCCAAACTCTTTGCTCTAGCCAAATGCTACGCCACGCCCAAAGACGTTAGTTTCTTCTCCGCAAGGAGTCTGGATCTGAGTGCCTTCCCGACGATTTGTAGAATGGAAATCCATTCTAGACCATCTGATTGGTCCCAGATACTGGGTTGGGCTAGAGCCAGAACACACGTGGGGTAAAGTGGCATTTTGAAAATCCGTCATTGTCTTTGAGACTCTGATTGGTTTTAGATTACCCAATCGCTGACGACTTTGTTTTGTACAACACCCCTCATTTTGACGTCAGCACAAACGACTTCATTGATGGCAGTCTCAGACTGAGTTATGTAGCGAACAATAGAGCAGCGGAAGAATTCAGTTTGAGTCGTCAGGCAAATTACCTTCTAAGCCTATGTAAAATAGATGTCATCCTTTTGTTCTGTAGCTGCCATTGGTCAAGCAGACATGTTGTGCAGAGCCCATCATATCCTCCTACTTTGTGGGAATACAAATAACATGGCTTGTTCTTTAAATTGATGTGTTCACAGCAAATACCTATGCTAATTCCATAACCAATCTAACTATGCCTATTCTAGAAACGAGTAAGTTGTCGATGGTAGTTGCCACAGGAGAGGCTGAGCTGTCCTGGCAATCATCTCTAAATATCTAGTCAGTACCATACTGCCACCAAGTGGAAACCTGAGGAGCAACACGGAGACAGCCCTGCTTCTACAGGTCCATCACAAATTAGCTTGTCTCCGCCCTTTTCCCGATGCGTCTCTGCTTGGAACTCAGCATTAATGAGATTGGGGGTAATGCTGCGTTCAATACAACTCTGACATTTCCGACTTGGAAACTTGTAGAAGATGAGGTCCGAGTTCCCCACTTGGAAAGTATTAGAATCAGCCAATAGAAAGCTCTACTACTGTATGAAAAGGCACAATCAAAAGATTAGGGGACAGGACACGGAAGTATGACGTAAGACGACGTCACTTGCACGTTGTATAGACTAGCGTCCTGTCCAGGGGAGTCCTTGTACATCAAGCTGCCTCAAGCTACAGAAACAAGGTCCTGCTCCTATGAGCCATTCCAGCACGCACAAGCCAAGACTCATGCAAGACTACTTACTTACTTAAAACAATTCAAGTGTTTTGTGATGCTTAGTCCATCTATGCGTTATACTCATGACATTGGATTCAGTCTCTGTCAGACTCAGGAGGGCCAACCTAAGATGGTCAGGAAGGCCGGGAAGGCCGAAGCCTAATCATTCCACTGACTGTAGCCAGTGGGGCAGTTGACAGACAGACAGGCCAAGTAAGGCCCACTACTGTCGAGGCAAAGCAAACTGCAAAGGAGGCATTACAAAACCCTCCAGAAGACACATCTGCCAAGCAGCTAATGAGCAAGAAGAGGAAGCCATGGAGGCAGAGCATTGTCTCAAAACTTAACTAAATGTATACTTTAATTGTCAGACATCCTAACCAAAAAAATAGCCCTAATGACTGCACAAGTTTGTAAAACGCCTTTTATCAACAAAAATAAAAATGAATTTAAATAGCGGGGAAATATTACCATATTATGGGATATCTTTTTTTTTTCTGGGATACTGATGTGAGATGCACCTTTGAATGAGCACAAAAGCAAGACATTCAAAGTCTGCCTGTATGATTAAACTAATAAAACAAGCATGGGGTGACTTGGGGTGGTGTGTAGGTGTTGTGGTAGGGCAGACTTGGCAGCTTATAGGATATAAGTGTTGAATGTTGCATCTTGCCTCCATCTGGTACTGCCTCAAAGTCAGAGTTCAGCCATCAGGCCATTCATGCTACTTCCAGCATATTGGAAAAAACTATGCATCAATAATGTTTTTCATTTAACAGATTGCACAAAATATAGATAACACAGAACTTAACACCCGATTCTCTCACCTTCTCAGGTAATCGTCATCGGGGCTTTCGTCAGGCATTTCTTGGTTTAAGGCCTCTTGTGGTACATTCACTGCTGGACTTGGACTTGCAGACTGTCTGTAAACCCTCTCCCACTGGCCTGTCTCCTGGTTATACACCAACCCCACCGCCTGTTCTCTCTGTGGGCTGGGGGTTCCCCGGTGAGGGAAGGCCGTGTCCCCTCCAGGTTCATCAGCACTGGGCTGTGTCTGTGCCGACTGTCTCCTGTCAGAGGACTGGCGCTCCTGTAGCACAGTCTGCCTCATTGTGTGAAAGGCAGGGTTGGGGCTTGGGGGCTGCCATGAGGGGCTCCCCTCCTCTTGTGATGGGGTCTGGCCGGTGCGCTCCCAGCGCTGCGTACCTTGGTTAAACGTGAACAGGTTGTGGCAGACCCTGCAGCGGTTCATATGGCCGCGGGAGGGACCAGAACCACCATCGCTGCTGTCGGGGGGCTGATAATGAGGGGTGACAGGTCGCTCAGAGTCTATGTTATTATTGAGCATCTCCCGCGTCTGTTGCTCTTGGCTGCTCTCTCCACCAGCACCACCTGACTGCTCCATTTCCTGCATGCGATCATACTCCATGAAGTAGCGATTCAAGTTGCACTGCAGCACGTTACGGATAGAGGTGGGGCTGTTGCTCCCTCCCTCCCCAAGAGAGTGGTGTCCACTACTAGTGCTGGGTCCATCTACAGAGCTGTTTCCACTGGTGTGGGGGCTCACTACTGTTGAGGGAAAGCTTCCTCCCTCTGTGGCAGAGGTGTAGACAGGCGACTGAAAGGAGCCCTCCTGTTGCCTCAGCACAGACAGCAGACTGACAGAGGACGCACTAGTCCTGGGTGGAGATACCCCAACACCTCCACTACGCTCAGGCCGCATGTTGAGCATGCTGCCCATCCAGTCTGCCCCCGCCAGTCGCCCAGAACACTCCCGGCCTGGCTGCTGGTGGCCCTGGGCCTGGTTGGTTATAAGGCCTGGGATGCTGCGCTGGCCAGGGCCTGAAGATGGAGTGCGTAAAGAGTGTCCTCTAGCACTGCCGTACACACTGCTGAAGGCAGAGGGCCGGTGTGAGGAGCGAGGCTCAGATGGCTGCCGGGGCTCAGTGCGAGCAGAGGAGAAGGTGGAGGCATGGGACTGGGCCTCCAGGCTCTCAGGGTCAGAGGGGTCCTCTCCAGTTGGTGAAGGGGCTCGGGTGGCAGAGCACCGACTGCAGAAGCAAACCATACCAAAGTGTTGCACACAACCCTGGTAGGGGGGTCGGGAACGATTACGCAGGGCGGAATAACGTCCAGAGGGAAGACGAGGAGAGTCAGCAGCACTATCGGCAGCAGGCGCGGGAGGATGCTGCTCCTCAGACTGTGAGCCTGAGTTCCTCGATGACAGGATGTGCAGGAAGTTGTGGAGAATGGGGGTACGGCGGACCGGTTGGGACTGTAGGAAGGATCGATGGCGAAAGTGGGGCATCTCCACGCTATCCATGGGGACCTCAGAATCATCATCACTCTGCTGACAAGCACACAACAGGAACACAATGTTCTTGATATGATGTAACTGACCTTCAATAATGTAAAGTATTAGACAGAGTCTCACCTGTTGGTTAGAGGGATTCACTATAGCGGTCAACAGGTAATGACCCAGTGGGTCAAACCTCACCAGTCTGCAACAGAGCATTCGCATGTGTCATTATCTATATTTTGCTATAAATACATTTTGAGATTATCTGACTGTTTCCAAATTCAGATATTGCAGCAAAGTCAACTAATCGAACACTGTGGAAATTATAGGGAGATCGAGAAGGTTGAGCTTTCTGTCAGACCTGACTCTCTCTGTCTCGCTGGCAGTCTTGACCAGGGCAAATGGCTCCCTCCTACTCCAGTCCCAGAAGTGAACCTCATTGTTTGTTGCTATGAGAAGGAGCTGGGCAGTAGGGTGAAAGGCCAGGGAGGCAATGGCCGCATTGCTTTCAGTGAACCAGCTCTCACTGCCACCCTTGGAATCAGTGGGGCCACACAATGTACAAAAGAAGAAGATTACTGTCAATATTATGCACATGCACAAAAACCCAGATTATCATCAAACTATTTTTAAGCGAGTGCAAGGAAATCGATTGGTAAAGAGTAAAACTTGTGATGACGCAAGAGAGTACATGGTTACCTACACCAGCACCACACACAGAGATAGTTGGAGATCTCTAGTTGGATATAACCAGTTTTTGTATGGACACTGCCATAGAGCCCCACAATGGAGGTGTCATAGTACCCATTCGTGTAGGCTTACCCTGGTGTGACGTTTTGATAACCGTGTAAATCTCTCTCGGACAAGGTGACTTTTATCAATATACTCTGCTTCATTTACGCTCAGATTCGAAAATGCTAATTAGCATCAAAGTACACATCATGCAAAACTACAAATCCCTGCAAGCTCCTGCACATAATCTCTAGCTGACACCTTTGCTAACAGGTATTATGACAACTTAAAAATTGCACAAGACAGTTCACAGAATTGTCAATTTAAAGAAATGTTAACAATTTATTAATTACTACATTTAGCTAACATTAGATAGTTAATCCAGAGATTCTTACCTTTGCCTAGATTCGGCAGTCTCGTCCAGATCATCATGGCATTTGTAGTTCTTTATGATGGCCACATCAGCAGCTAATTAGCATTTAATTTTGGGGGGATAAATACAGGCGTATATATTGATAAGTCACTTTGTCCTTGAGAGATTTACACGGTTATCAAAACGTCATGCCAGGGTAAACTTGGAACCATTTCCCTGTTTGACCTCTAGGTTTTATGGGTATTATGACTCATACTGTGGTACTCTATAGAGGGCTTCCACCATTTTAAAGTAGTCAACTGGGTGGGGATTTCTATGGGTTGGGAGGGATCAGCCAATGATCAGAGCATTGGCTTCTTCTTCAAATTGGGTTACCTGGTTTATAAATGGCTTTAAGCTGTATCACCGCCACAATAAATTAATGACAATATTTGGTTCAGGACTCCTGCACTGCAGGTGGCGGTAAAACACCAATATAAGCTGTATGCATTTTTTCAAACACAAAAAAATAAGAAAATTGACTACTTTAAAATAGAGATGGCCTCACTGGCGCTACCCGTGAAGATGGGACAGATAAACATTTAGAATCTCAATTAGTTTTGCTAAACTCCTCGCGTCCTCTCCTTTGTCCTGCTTTTGAAAAAGTTCAAAGGTAATCGAGGAGAGGAGGCGAGGAGAGGAAACAAATGAGCTTGTGTGAAATGAGACTCCCCACTCCATAAGGCAAATTACATTTACAGGGATGGAATCACAAAATAAATGTGTAAAGTGATAAAAACAAATATAACTAGTTGTGCAAGACATTTTATAGATAATAAGAATAAGAAATAATAAGTGGCGTATTCTTATTAAATGTGTGCATAAATGTGTGCATGCTTTTCTCCTTCGAGAAAACAACAGCTGATTCAAAGGGGGTGTGGCGGATTTTAAAACACTTCCGCTCTAGCCGCTGAGTGGAATACTCTTGTGCATCAAGGTAGTGCGCAAACTCTTCCATTCGCCTACTAATTAATTGACACCGTCCTCAACCACTTATCGGTTTGCAGGTCACGGAGGAGAGGAGGAGTCGAGGAGAATCTCCCAAAGATGAGTCATCTAATGAAGTCTATGGTGGCTCCTTTGCATGAGAAGATGACAGCCACTCACATGCAGGTCCCAGATGCGAACCTCTCCATCCAGACATCCCGAAGCCACCAAACCAGGGATGGTAGGGTGAAAGGTCAGACACCAAGGAGTGCGGCGATGGCCCAATAGAGAGTGAACACACTTCCCTGTCTTAACCTCTGTGATATAAATGTTGTGGTTGACATGAGTTGAGGCCATTAAGGTCCTATATGAAAGGAAAACATTAACAGTTAACATACAATCTTCCAGTCTTGGTGTCTTTCTACCTCCTCCAGACAAAAAATGTATACAACATTTTAAGGGACGTCATTCTGACCTGTCCGGGCTAAAAGCCAACAGGAAGGTAGAACGAGGGCTGTCCGGCAACTCCACTTTCTGAGGAAAATCAAATAAAAAGAGAACATCAAAAAAGTTCCCACTCATTTCAGTTAAACTTGTTACATTGCACAATTTCCATGATTGCCATCCATGCCTCACCAAGGATGCTCCTTACCTGACTCTGCCATTTCATCCGCCGGGTCTTCTCCTCAACAAGCTGCTGCAGGAGGCGCTGGGAGCCAAGGCCACGGGCCCCACGCTCCCGGGCAGATAAGATCTGCACCGAATTCTTTGGGTAGACAGTCATCTCAAAGATCAGGCCTTCCTCCCTCTCCTTCACACTGGTGTTTGTTGGTCTCAGTCACCAAAGGGTCTAAGCAAAGGCCATATGAAAGTGTGTCTGTGGCCAGCCTGTAGTCTAGAGGAGAGTCTAGCTTGTAGTCTACACCTTTACCTTGACATGGCATAATGAAATCCAGCTGTTGATGACAGAACCATGTTTGTAGCTAAGTAGCTAACTAAATTGTATTTATGTATTATTAGTTACCTTATCACTGCAGTTCTCATTTGTTAACAGCCATGAGCTGCTGATGACAATGTTGCCATTGGTGGCATGAATAATGAAAATCTGTTGGTTTTACAGAATTAACGTCACAACATAACATAACGTTAATGGCAAAACAACTGGTGGTGTGGGTTCAGACATTAAAACTGAAACACAGAGAAACAAAACGAAAACAGGCTGTCATGAAACTTTGAAATGCTAGTTAACTACCTGTCTCCTAACTCCAGATTATAAAACCAGATAATGTCATTTAACCCAACAAATGTGGGCCATTACTGGAAGACGAAGATAGTATCGCCAATATAACAGGTTAAAGTTGTTAGTTGAAAAATCTCTGACGACATTTTGTACAGCCAGGCCTGTAACTACCAGTATACTATTTTGGGTTAAATCACATTATCTTGTGTTACAATCTGTAACTACCGGTCTCCCAATAAACTAGCTAGCTAACATGCCAGCGTTTGTCCAACTCAAGCAAGAACTAGCGTTGACAACCAACCCCAACAAGGCATTGCATTGGCCTAACTAGCTAACATTAGCGATACTCGACCATGTCCCTACCTTTTCCCACTGCTTCGGTTGGATTTTCTCGTCGACTTAGCTATTTACATATATTCGACTTTTACTAGCACCTGAAACTGTCTCATATAATGATGTTTTATTTTCTCCGATGTTTTTATATTGTGTTGACCGACTGTGGTTAGCAAGCTAGCAGTGTAGCTAGGCTAGCTATTAGCTATGTTCTTCAAAACATTAGCCAGCTGGCCAGACCAGACCTGCCACAGCTCATCAGGCATTACTAGTTGAACACAGGAACATAGGTGGGCGCCACAAAACCGGGAGCTTTTTTTGCAGTTCAAGAAATATCTAGTTTACAAAGGGTAACTTTTGCTTTAAAGTAAGCAATGTATTGTTCATCTACATTTATCGCTATTTCTAAATGTTTTACAGAAAACATGTATACATAGAGGTTCATGATTATACAACGTAGACTTTTCCAAACTGGGTCTGAGCCATAGGATCCAGGTCCTCGTCCAAACGGTTTATAAAATACACAATAATGGACCTTATGGTTGTCATATATGGTATAATGGTTAATAAAAAGCTTTCATCTCAAAGAGAACAAGTTTTCTACTAAAACACTGGATGCTGATCAAGCATAACCTTTTGGCCGCTTCACAGTTTGGATTGATTTTATTTGTCAGTAAAAAAAATACATAGATACACAAAGATTTGTAAAAGTGACCGGGATTGCACAATAAAGTCGGGGACTTATTTCCATTGTGGTCCCTATTTTTAAAAACATAAATACATATACAATTACATAGATACAGACAAATTACCGAGATAGAGACGAAAAAATGCTCAACCTCCACATGAGTATTTGGGGGGAGTTTAAGTACAATTCTTACAAGCTTGTTTGGCTGGTAGCTTTATCTAGACGTTTGGGGATGCTGGTGAACCATCATGATGTGCAGGCATAATCAAAGTGACACTGGACTAGCGCACTAGCTAGGTTTCCATCCAATTGGCGACAGATTTTCATGCGAATATTCTAAAATCTTCATAAAAACAATATGCCATTTCAGAGTTTCCTTTAGGAAATTTTAGCGCAGGACAACATGATAGGGAAGATTTATTTACCGGACTTTTGAGAAATATACCGGACCTCCATATGCATTCAGATCCGACCTGGCGCAGCCAGCGCCATCAATAAACAAGGGGATATTGGGCAAATGAGCTACATTTACGTGTCGTTAAAAACAGCCTATAACAAATGACAAAAATACTATTCCTTGTGTTTCGATGTGTAGCATATGCAAAACTTTATAGCCTATTTTTTTATTGTTTTGTAGGCTACTTTCCTAAAACAATAATTGTCCACCTCACGGTTCAGCTGTCAGAGATTTCAGCACTACAGTACATGTATCACGGCATTGCATGCATAGCTCTATAGGCTTACGTGTCCACTGTATGATATTAACATTTTAATAAATATACACTACCAGTCAAAAGTTTGGACACATCTACTCATTCAAGGATTTTTCTTTATTTTTACTATTTTTTACATTGTAGAATAATAGTGAAGATATCAAAACTATGAAATAACACATATGGAATCATGTAGTAACCAAAAAAGTGTTAAACAATTCAAAATATATTTTATATTTGAGATTCTTCAAATAGCCACCCTTTGCCTTGATGACAGCTTTGCACACTCTTGGCATTCTCTCAACCAGCTTCATGAGGTAGTCACCTGGAATGTATTTCAATTAACAGGTGTGCCTTCTTAAAAGTTAATTTGTGGAATTTCTTTCCTTAATGCGTTTGAGCCAATCAGTTGTGTTGTGACAAGAAGGGGGGGTATACAGAAGATAGCCCTATTTGGTAAAAGACCAAGTCCATATTATGGCAAGAACAGCTCAAATAAGCAAAGAGAAATCACAGTCCATCGTTACTTTAAGACATGAAGGTCAGTCAATATGGAACATTTCAAGAACTTTGAAAGTTTCTTCAAGTGCAGTCGCAAAAACCATCAAGCGCTATGATGAAACTGGCTCTCATGAGGACCATCACAGGAATGGAAGACCCAGAGTTACCTCTGCTGCAGAGGATAAGTTCATTAGAGTTACCAGCCTCAGAAAATGCAGCGCAAATAAATGCTTCACTGAGTTCAAGTAACAGACACATCTCAACATCAACTGTTCAGAGGGGACTGTGTGAATCAGGCCTTCATGGTCGAATTGCTGCAAAGAAACCACTACTAAAGGACACCAATAAGAAGAAGAGACCTGCTTGGGCCAAGAAACACGAGCAATGGACATTAGACCGGTGGAAATGTGTCCTTTGGTCTGGAGTCCAAATTTGAGATTTTTGGTTCCAACCGCCGTGTCTTTGTGAGATGCGGTGTGGGTGAATGGATTATCTCCGCATGTGTATTTCTCACCGTAAAGCATTGAGGAGGAGGTGTTGTGGTGTGGGGGTGCTTTGCTCGTGACACTGTCTGTGATTTATTTATAATTCAAGGCACACTTAATCAGCATGGCTACCACAGCATTCTGCAGCGATCCGCCATCCCATCTGGTTTGTGCTTCGTGGGACTATCATTTGTTTTTCAACAGGACAATGACCCAACACACCTCCAGGCTGTGTAAGGGCTATTTTACCAAGAAGGAGAGTGATGGAGTGCTGCATCAGATGACCTGGCCTCCACAATCCCCCGACCTCAACCCAATTGAGATGGTTTGGATGAGTCGGACGGCAGAGTGAAGGAAAAGCAGCCAACAAGTGCTTAGCATATGTGGGAACTCCTTCAAGACTGTTGGAAAAGCATTCCAGGTGAAGCTGGTTGAGAGATTGCCAAGAGTGTGAAAGGCTGTCATCAAGGAAAATGGTGGCTATTGGAAGAATCTCAAATATAAAATATATTTTGATTTGTTTAACACTTTTTTGGTTACTACATGATTCCATATGTGTTATTTCATAGTTTTGGTGTCTTCACTATTATTCTACAATGTAGAAAATAGTAAAAATGAAGAAAAACACTTGAATGAGTAGGTGTATCCAAACTTTTGACTGGTACTGTATATATATAGGCTATATAAAGGAAGATAAGCTTAAGCCTAACCCCAGAAAGATAGAGAGAGATAGAGATGTGCCGGTGGCATGCTATTACACCAACATGCATTTTTTTGCCAGATGGCTACTGCGTCTGCTATACAGATATAGACGTACAGAAGGAGTCTAATTAGTTCATTTTCTATCATAATATTTTGTATAAAGATAAGCAATGTATTGTTAGATTATAGGAGTAACTCTGGTAGGCCTGAAATAGTCTCCCTCATCTCAAATTCAACTGTCGGGGTCAGTTGGAGCGCCGGGGCGCACTGTCTTCATATCATACAGATATGTGATAAGAGCGTCTGCTAAATGACGTAAATGTAAATGTAATGTGCCTCAGCATTTCTCTCTCTCTCTCTCTCTCAATTCAATTCAAGGGGCTTTATTGGCATGGGAAACATATGTTTACATTGCCAAAGCAAGTGAAATGGATAAACAAAAGTGAAATAAACAATAAAAAGTGAACAGTAAATATTACACTCACACAAGTTCCAAAAGAATAAAGACATTTCAAATGTCATATTATGTCTATGTACAGTGTTGTAACGATGTGCAAATAGTTAAAGTAAAAAGGGAAAATAAATAAACAGAAATATGGGTTGTATTTACAGTGGTGTTTGTTCTTCACTGGTTGCCCTTTTCTTGTGGCAACAGGTCACATATCTTGCTGCTGTGATTGCACACTGTGGTAGTTCACCCAATAGATATGGGAGTTTATCAAAATTTGATTTGTTTTCAAATTCTTTGTGGGTCTGTGTAATCTAAGGGAAATATGTGTCTCTAATATTATCATACATTTGGCAGGAGGTTAGGAAGTGCAGCTCAGTTTCCACCTCATTTTGTGGGCAGTGTGCACATAGCCTGTCTTCTCTTGAGAGCCAGGTCTGCCTACGGCAACCTTTCTCAATAGCAAGGCTATGCTCACTGAGTCTGTACATCGTCAAAGCTTTCCTTAATTTTGGGTCAGTCACAGTGGTCAGGTATTCTGCCGCTGTGTACACTCTGTTTAGGGCCAAATACCATTTTAGTTTGCTCAGTTTTTTTGTTAATTCTTTCCAATGTGCCAAGTAATTATCTTTTTGTTTTCTCATGATTTGGTTGGGTCTAATTGTGTTGCTGTC